AACCTGGAGCCTGCTTCAGATCCTGTGTCTCCCTCTCTCTCTCTGCCCCTCCCCCGCTCATGCTCTGCTGCTGCTCTCTCTCTCTCAAAAATAAACATTAAAAATTAAAAAAAAAAAGTGGTGAGAGTGGACATCCCTGTCATGTTCCTGATCTCAGGGGGAAATCTCTCAGTTTTTCCTCACTGAGGATGATATTAGCTATGGGCTTTTCATATATGGCTTTTATGATGTTTAAGTATGTTTCCTTCTATCCCGACTTTCTTGAGGGTTTTTATTAAGAAAGGATGTTGTATTTTGTCAAATGCTTTTTCTGTATCTATTGACAGGATCGTATGGTTCTTATCCTTTCTTTTATTAATGTGATGTATCACATTGATTGATTTGCGAATACTGAACCAGCCCTGCAGCTCAGGAATGAATCCACTTGATCATGGTGAATAATTCTTTTTATATGCTGTTGAATTCGATTTGCTAGTATCTTGTTGAGAATTTTTTCATCCATGTTCGTCAGGGATATTGGCCTGTAGTTCTCCTTTTTTGTGGGGTGTCTGTCTGGTTTGGGAATCAAAGTAATCCTGGCTTCATAGAATGAGTCTGGAAGTTTTCAGGGAAGGGATTCTTTTAGCAAAGTACTAATGCTATGAAATGTGAGGGGGAAGAGGATATCAACAGTGCAAGAGCCTGTCAGGGGCTAGTAGATGCTCTACCAGTGGGACCCAATGTGTCCCCTTGTCCTCCTCATCTGAGTGGACTTTGATGAACTTAATGGCCGTCTACTGAAATTGAAGGCTGAGAGGAGGTAGGATTCTGTGGACCAGACTACCCAGAAGAGGAAAGAGAGAGGGAGGGGTTGGTGACCCAGTGGCTACAAGAAGGGCTGGCTAGGAGGAGCTGTCCCAGAAGTGAAGTGAAGGCTGTGTCTTTTGAAGAGTTACTGGGTGAGAGAAGGTAAATTGAATAGTAAGGAGACTCTGTTCCTGAACATTCCTGTGAATATTCTCTCAAAGGATGAGAAGGCGTGACTGGAACCTGAAGTAAAAACACTGTATGAAATCCTTCTGGATCATGAGTGACTTGTTTAGGAATGGGCTGTTCCACTCTCTTCTACTGTGGCAGGGGTGCGAGGAGCATAGTGCTTCTCTGGTCTAACTTAGTGAGAAGGTTCTCCACAGGGACTCTGTTGGCCCACACATGGAAGATTTTCCTTGACATTCTCCTCTAGGGAGCTGTGCTTCACCCCTGAACCACTCCTTACTCATAATTTCTGATTTAATATGTCTTCCTGCCCAGATATTAAAACACCAAAAGGGCACGAGGGCCTGAGGGCATGGACCCCAGCTGTCTAGGTATATGCTATATATACAGTTTCTAACACATGCTCAGCACATAGTAGGTGCTCAATTAATAACTGAATTGAATTTCTTCCAGGCCCTATGGCTTGCTGCCAAACAGGGGAAAGGCTTGTGACAATGCAAATGGAGGGACTGCAATCTAATGCAGTTGGGATCCCTCCCAGGGATTCAAAGCCACCTCTGGCATCTGCTTGCATCAACCTTAGGACCTTAGACAGGGTGCTTGAGCACCCACCCAGGCCAGTCCCTGATAGCTGCTCATGACTGCTCAGCCCAGTGCCTCAGGATTCCTCAAAGCAGCCCAACCCAATGGACCCATTTACTCCCCACACCCATGGTCACAGCATATGCTGCTGGCTGCTACAGCCCCCACAAAAGAAGAGATAAGCATCACTCTGCCCCAGAATTATCTCCCAGCCATCCTCCCATTGCCTCCCTGTCCTCCAGGGCCACTCCTCTATCTGGGCTCTCTCAACCTTTGCACCAGGATGAAAAACCTTCTTTATCCACAATCTCTTCCTGAAATCTGTACCTCCATTTCCTTTCTCTTTCTGGGAAGGGGGTGGGGTGGGAGAAGATGCTCAGTGTCCAGTACCAGGTATTCCAGAATGCCTTCAGGGGAGGGGTCCTCCTCACCACCTTAAGAATTCCAGACCAATTGTACTCTACCCTTCCCTAAAGCTCTGCACTTCTGGGCAGCTCATTTCTTCCAGCTAAGCCATCTTATCCCCGCTTCAGTTCTGTCATCTACAGACATCCTGACTGTACTTTTCTCTTTCCTTGAGGGATATAGTAATTTGTTCATGATCTCCATCTGTATCTCATGTCCTGTGTCATCTGGATTGGCCTCACAGCCCCTGTGGACATCAGGACTTGGATTTCTTGACCTCATCCACAGAACTTTTCATCTTTTCACTTCAGCTGCCCTCTGGTTCTCTCCCCAACCTTAGTTTAGCAAGCTTCCTAAGAGCAGAGGCTCTGTTTAATTCCTTTTAAGATCTGAGACCTAGGACAGTATTCAGCTTACAGAAGGTTCTCAAAAAATGTTTGCATGAATGGAAGAATGAACATGTCAAAGATAAGTGCCTAGCCTGTATTTGAGATACAGAAGTAATATACTAGATTTATAATTCAGAGACACTGCATTAATCAAGTCACAAAGCTCTTAGCTTTGGTTTGTTGTAATTATCAGTGCAAGTTCCTTAGGTGGAGAATGCTCGTATTATTAATAACTTTAGTGATTTGATTAAATGAAAGATTGCCATACTTGATTCATGACTGATAATTTCAGATCTTTGTGTAGGGCTATTATAAGAAAATACCTAATGATATGCGGAGGCAGAAATAGGGTCTGATCTGAAATGTGATAAGTCATCATTGAAAATTTCAGTCCTCTGGCTTCCTTTCTGGGATGTAAAACTGGTAATGAAGTCAAATAAAAACAAACAACAAACAAAAATCACTACTACCCCTTCACCCAAATACAGGGCCAAGGGACCATTTTCCTATTAAAGCTTCATCAGACAAGGACCTCCAGGGACGAGACTGTAGTCCAACAAAATCAGATTTATTGATGTGAGCTTAGTGACATCAAAGCAGCTGTGAAGTGCTGCTCAGTAGGAGGGAGGAAGTCTGTAAAGTCAAGGCTCCAGCAGAATGATCTGAAGAGAGTCTAAAGGAAGTGGGGACCGAAGCACCTGGGTGGCTCAGTCAGTTAAGCGTCTGACTTCAGCTCAGGTCACGATCCTGCGGTTTGCAGGCTTGAGCCCCCCCCTTCTGGCTCTGTGCTGACAGCTCAGAGCCTGGAGCCTGCTTTCTGTATCTCTCTCTGTCTGCCCCTCCCCCATTCTCTTTCTTTCTCTCTCCCTCTCTCTGAAAATGAGTTAACTTCAAAGAAAAAAATAAACAGGGCCACCTGGGTGGCTCAATCCATTGAGTATCTGACTTTGGCTCAGGGCGTGATCTCGTGGTTTGTGAGTTCGAGCCCCCACCAGGCTCTGTGCTGACAACTCAGAGCCCACAGCCTGTTTCAGATTCTGTGTCTCTCTCTCTGCCCGTCCCCTGCTTGCATTCTGTCTCTGTCTCTCTCAAAAATAAATATTAAAAAAATTTTTTAATAAATAGGGAAAAAATGAAGTGGGGGTCATGTCTGGGCTGGTTGAAGTTTCTGAGGCAGAATGAGGAGAAACTACAATGAATCAGGGGTTGCATACCATTGAGAGCAGGGATGATTCTGCCTGTGGATATTCGTAGTAAAAGATGGGTGTAGTAAAGCAGATCTAGGGGAATCACTGGTAAGAAAGCAGTGGCCATTCAAAGCAGGGGTTGTTCTGGCATTTTATAACCACAAGCCAGACTTTGGAAGAAACGTGATTTTCTGTGACTTTGCTCTTGGCTTTACCTGGGTCTGTTCTGCCAGCCCGGGGAACAGCAGGGCTGCTTTTACTCCCTTTCAATCTGAGCTTACTTTCATTCTTTCAGGCCTGGATAAGTTTTAACTCTTTCAAATAACTTTTGCCCATTTAAACACTCTCTTTTAAATCATGCTAATGTCATATGTCTACATTTCCTCTGCTACGGTAACGTGACCACCCACCACACATGGGATCAGAGGCCCCGCCAAGTTCAATGGGGCCATATGCAGGGCAACTGCAGGATGCCTCATTAAAACAATTGGAGTCAAATAAAACTCAGAAGTGACTTCTTCCTGGCAAAAGTGGAGCCAACCTCTGCTTGCTGTAGCATGACCAACTTCTTGTGACTGGTATCAGAGAACCTTTATCTCTAATGAGGCCCAAAGCATTCACTAAGAGAAAGTGCTTATTAGTTCCTTATCTCTCACTTCTTAAAAAAAGAGAAAAAAAAGGAAAACCACTTAGAGTTTGGACACATGAGGAGCCAAGCTATCGTGGCTAATGAAAAATAATTCCTATACTCTAGTGGTCCTCAGACTTTAATGTGCTGCAGAAACACCTGTAGGTCTTGCTGAACACCAGACTGTGGAGATTCTGCTTCAGTAGGCTCCAAGAATTCACATCGTTAACAAGTTCCCAGGAGATACTGATGGTGCTGGTGCAGGGACCACATTTGAGAGCCACTTCTGTAACTCTTAGTACTGCCACCTTCTACACGTTTGCACTTTCTGTTCTTCCTGCTTGAAATGCCTTCCCTGCTCTCCATCTAACTGATGGCTTGTCTTAATTTGGTATGCCTCCTTTGTGGCCATTGTATTAGCTAGTTACTGCTGCATGACGAAGGACCCCAAGGAGGACCCCCAGAATGGTGGTTTGAGGTGTTCAGGGCAACCATTCCCCAACAAAGACCCTTATTAAACTGGTCAAAATTAATAAAGTCAATTGTTCAAAATCTCTGGAGATTGATTGAGGGGTTTACAACAAATTGAGAAACCTTAATCCTGCAAAATGTGTGGACACGTAACAAGAAGAGTAGAAATCCATGATATTCAAGCCAGGGATTGTAGCCATCTTCCCACAGCTCTGCCTTCTGGAAGAACTGTTTCAGTGAACTTGGCAACCAAGTGGCAGTTCACGTCTCTTCCAGATCTCTGGGGGTGGAACAGGTATTCCTGCTGGTTTTGTCAGACAGCGAACATGAGCAGATTCCATTTTCCATATCTCTATGCTGTAGAAGACCTATAACAAGTAAGTGGGAGCAGTTAGGTGGCATTCGTTTCCTTACTCACAACTTCTACTACATAGAGAAGATCCTTCATTAGGAAGCCACTGAAGAATAGAACCCGCCTCTCTAATACAGCTCTGTGTTGCAGAAGAGATGCTGTGGTGGGCTCAGCAGATGAATGGCAGTTCCCTTCTTCCCCAGGGATGAAGACCTATTCTGGCAACCAGGAAATTTCAGATCTCATCCTCTTTGGGTCTGTGTTGCAGAAGATCCATACTGGGGACAAACTTGGGAGTGGCAGCAGCCTGGCATGGGACCACCTTCCAGCACCCACTCCCCACTATCAGTACGTACAGCTCCTACTCTGTAAGGAGGACCCAGGTGGAGCAATCAGTCAAGAGTGAGCTCCTTAGTAGCAGAACCTGAAACACCTTTTTAAAGTCCCCATAGAATATTCACCAATATTGACCATATCCTGAATCATAAAACAAATCTTAACAAATTTTAAAAGTGTGAAACCATATAGAGTATATTCTGTCCATAGTGGAATCAAACTAAAAATAAATAATAAAACGGCACTTAAAAATCTTCAAACATTTGAAAAATTAGCAGCACGTGGTTACAAAATTCAAACTTGTCTGTGCACCTGATGCATAGTAAGCCAATGTCTGAAATATTGGTTTTGAAGCAAAGAAAGCTTTATTGTCAGAAGAGCAGTCCAATGAGAAGGCAGAGAATCATTCCCCAAAGCAGCCTTGCTCTGTTGAGCCTACAGATCGCTTATCCACATAAGAGGAAGGTAAGGGGTTTCTTGAAACCAGGGATGGGGAGGCTTGAAACAGTCTGGAGGTAAGCATTCTTTTGAAAAATGGGACACTATTTAGGACCTGGTACAATCAGATATGTCAAGACAAATTTTACCATCCTGTCCCCATTAGGTTTCTACAATCACTGGGTAAGTAAGGAATAGGGGTAATGATTGGTCAAGCATGATGTCAAGAGGTGCAAAGAGCATAATTAAGTAGGGAGCTAAACAGAACATGGAGCTAAGTTAACAATCAAACTAATAAAACCATAGTTCTGTTCATGCTTTCAAAACAGGTCCATGAACCAAGCATCCAGCCTCAACACTTCTTAATCATCAATGTGTGGGGCTTGGATAGTGGAGCATGCAACTCTCAATCTCAGGGTTGTGAGCTCAGGCCCCATGTTGGGCTTGGAGCCTACTTAAAAAAAAAAGAATTGTCATGGGTCAAAGAGGAAGTCTCAAAAGAGATTTAAAAAAAGTAAATAGAACTGAATGACAATGAAAACATATCAAAATTTCTGAGATGCAATTAAGCAAAGCTAAAAGGAAAATTTATAGCACTGAACATTCAGATTAGAAGAGAGAAAAGGCCTCAAATCAATAATTTAAGTTTCTACTTCAAGAAAACAGAAAAATAGCAAAAGAAGAGAAAAATAAGCCCAAATCAAGCAGAAAGAAAATTATAAAGATAAGAATAGGTATCATGGAATTGAAAACAGAAAAACAGAGAAAATTAATGAGACAAAAAGCGGGTTCTTTAAAACAAATCATTGTCATTGATGCACTTTTAGAATTAGTGAAAAAAAATTCTAGCCTGGGAACTGAGATTTTTAAAAACATCCCAGGGGAGTCAATGTGCACCCAGGGTTCAAAGCCACAGGTAAAGGATTTCAGGTCAGCTTGTGCTGGTTCCTCGGGCTGATGAGAGAAGAGTTTGGGGTGCAGGGAAAATGCTCCACGTATCCAACAGCTCCTCTACATATCCAAGGTGCATCCTTGCTAAAACACCAAGCCTTCTCCATGACCATGATTCCAGTTAAATTCTGAGATATGCTTACAGCTCAGTCCTCTCTGGGTCTCCATTTCCTTGCTGTGAAATGGAGATAATAGTACTTATCTTGAAGGACTAGTGTGAAGATTAAATTATATGATGTGTACAAAGTGTCCAGTCCAGTGCTTGACAGATAACCGTTTTGGCTATCAAGTAACAGAAAACCCAACACAAGGACATTTATTGTCTCACAAAAGAGTGGTCCTAAAGGTTAATCTCAAGGACACAGGATCTTTGGGCTCTTGCATCCACTGTATTGAGACTTACCTTTTGGGTTTACAAGATGGCCTCAAAAGCAGATGGGACAATGTTGAGCTGAAGAACAGTCTTTCCTCCCCTGTGTTGTCAACACCAAAATACTACCCCAAACCACCCAGCTCTTTGTGTCTCATGGGCCAGAATGGAATCATACCTTATGTCCAAATCAATGCCTCAGAAAGGATAACATTGCCATAAACAGCTTAGAAAAGGGAGAGTTTTAAAAATAAAAACAAATACAAAAAAAAAAAAGGGTGCCCAGATCCCACTCCCAGAGATTGAGTAAATTGGGGATGAGCCTGAGCACAGGTGGATTTTCAAAGCTTCAAGATAACTCCCAACGTGCAGTCATTCCTGAGAATCACTGGCTTTGGCTCTCCTGTGAATAATGTCGTCATCCATTTAACGAGAGAAACTGCCGTGAATAGCCCATACTGGTTGCCACAGTCTCTTTGTGTTAGACCCTCCATTTCCGAAGGAGTGGTGATTGGCTTTGCAATCATAGTCTGCATTTTTTTTTAATTTTTTTTTAACGTTTATTTATTTTTGAGACAGAGAGAGACAGAGCATGAACGGGAGATGGTCAGAGAGAGGGAGACACAGAATCTGAAACAGGCTCCAGGCTCTGAGCTGTCAGCACAGAGCCCGACGCGGGGCTCGAACTCACGGACCGCGAGATCATGACCTGAGCCGAAGTCGGACGCTTAACCGACCGAGCCACCCAGGCGCCCCTCATAGTCTGCATTTTAACACGATCCCCAGGTGAGTCTGATGACCAGGTAAGTGTGAGAAGTGCTGGTGTAAAAGACACCTCTGCATGATCTCCCTGTCTCAAACCTGCAGCTCCGTCTCCAACTGTTTCTAATCTTACCCCCAGCTTTTCCCTGGGTTCATGTAATCATGACTTCCAATGTCTTGCTACCTGGGAACATACAGCACCCCATCTCGCTTTGCCAGATAGACTGACTGAGTCTTTAGAGCATCTAGGGTGAGACTCCACCAGGTGATAGACTTCAGGTGAGAATACTTTGTTACAGTCTTGATAAATATGTGACACTTCCTTCAATAGGTCAAGGCCCTTCTGGGGTGCTTTGAGGAGTCAAAATTGAATAATGCATGGACTTTCTTGCCAAGCTTGCAAAGTAGAAGGGCCAAATAACAAAAATATGACAACAATAAGTACATTTACAGAACTTTAAACCTACAAGATGATTTTATTTCTACATGGTCCTTGCAAAAACAGGCTTAAAGAAGTTACCTGGTTGTTCAAGTCCATACATCTCAGTGTGTGCTAAGTTTGGCTCTGAGAACCAGGACTTTTGACCACAAACCAGGATTTCCAGATAAAATACAGGAAACCCAGTTAAATTCTAATTTCAATGAATATTTTTTAGTATAAGTATGTCACATGAAATATTTGAGAGACATTCCAAACATTTATTTATTATTTATCTGAAATTCCAATTTAAATGAGTATCCTATATTTTTATCTGGAAACCCTATTTCACAACCCGTTTTTCTCTAGCAGAATGTGATGGGTGCTGGTTATTTTCACTTAACCAAATTCCTTTCCTTCCTTCATGATCCTAGTACCCAGCATAGCCATTATAGTACATTATAATAGTACTATCTACTGCTGAGGCACTGAGGTAACTGCCGCTAATAGCTTGAAGCTATGAAATGGAAGGTCTGTAGAGTCTTTCAATGTGACATCCCTCCTGTCTGCCTTTGAGGCATCATCATGACAAAGGCCCCCAAGATTGGGGACCACATTGGGCTTCCAGTGATGCTTCAGACCCAGGCCCTCAAAATGGTCAAGGGCATGATGCTTCCTGATGAGGTCTGGGGAGAATTGGGTTAACGTATACAACCTGTTATTTCCCTTATAAGTTCTGAACCAGTTGAGAGAGATACACAGAACTTAGGAAGATGGAGGTCAAAATAATCATCTTGAACACACACTTAGCATTTACAATTCTGTGTTCGGATGGGGATGTTGAAGGTGTGAATCCAAGGGACTGATTTCTGAAACAACACACTATGGATCTGACATTTTAACTTTAAAACCAAATCCTTCAAAAGTTATTTTGTGCTCCGGCCATCTCTTAGGATTATCATCCTCATTAGTTCGTTAACGGTGGTTTTGCTCTATTTTAGTCTGTAGTCCAAACCCCCTGATCTCTCTTCTTCTTGCCCACTCTGCACACTGTTGTCAGCCCCATCTGCCCTAAGCCTTGTTTCAACAACACCACTCCCCTCCTCAAAAACCTTCAATGGCTCCCTGTTTTCAGTTCTTCACATCTCAATTCTTCCTGCCCCTTCAAAGCTCTCTGTCATCTGTCTTAACCCACACTTGAGTCTTGCTCACCTGCCCCTCTGCTCTTCATTCTCACTCACTGAGCTGATCCCCACTTTAAACCTGTTCCACTCACACTTCTCCCTGAGACAGCCTCTTTTCTCGAACTTCCACACCTTCCCGGTCTCTGCAAATTCAGCTCTAGTCCATTGATTTCCTCCTCCTTTAAACCCAAATGGCAAGTTTTTACTCTGAGAAACATATTAGCCTCTTTGTGCCATCATTTATCACTCACTGTTTCTTTTCTCCCCCAGTAAATCTCTAAGAATAGAGACTACATCTTGTGAAATTTCTATATTCCCCATTGCACAAGCCCATTGTGGAGAGTGACTGAGAGATCCCTGATTGCTTGCTTGTTAATTACCTAAAAACTAGTCTCTCCAAACTCAGGATCAGGATTTGATGTGGATTTGATGAACACACCTATACTCTCCCTATTCCTTTGCTTACTGATGTGTAAACATTTGTCTTTATATCCTACAGGTTTTTTTTAAGGTTTTATTTATTTTTGACAGAGAGAGAGGAGAGAGAGGGAGAGAGAGAGAGAGAACATGAGGAGAGGAAGAGCATAGAGAAAGGGAGACAGAGAATCCCAAGCAGGCTCCACAGTCAGTGCAGAGCCCAACGTGGGGCTTGAATTCATCAACTGTGAGATCATGGCCTGAGCTGAAATCAAGAGTTGGCTGCTTAACCTACTGAGCCAGCCAGGTGCCCCTTAACATCATACAGTTTTAAATGAAAGCTACTATCATTTATTTGTGTATTTATTCCTGAGGACACACTGCTATTAAGCAGCAGAAACTGACCTGAACCCAGATATACTTGCCCCAAAGTCCATGATTTTAACTGCAAGTTGTTATTTGCAGTCATTATTACAGTGTGAAGAAACTAGTCTCGGTGATGCATCATTTCTCAAAGTGTAATTTTTGGG